GAAACAGAGCACCTAATGGTGCTTTAGTGAGAAGTTAGCAGAGTAGGATGCCCATCCAGGCAGGTGCATTGTGTTTTTTGTCGTTACGTCATTGTTTATGTGCTTTGTGTTTTGACCCCTTTTTTCTCAGAAATCGAAAATATTTCCACACTACTGATATATTCCAGAGTAAATAACGTTATCCTTATTGTCTTCCTCTTGGCTACTTGTCGACTGCCTCCTGCTGTTTGACAGTGATGCAATACTTCAAAATATAGGCCTAACCTAAAGATGATAAAATGGATAAATGTTTTTGCTTTGCATTGATAATATTGGATTGCTGATCACTGAATCAATATATCGATCCATCTCAACGAATCGTTACGCCCCGATCAAAAAATACATATGAAAACATGACTGAATGTGAAAAATACTACAGTCATTCTTTGCTGTGGAGGACCAAACCATTTCATTGCATTACTAACTGGGAGTGTAGCTTTGAAGGCCAATAACACTGCTATTGTTTTTCAGAGAACACAAGACATACAGAGGACAGAGGTGCCATGAAGGTGTTCCCAAGTGCTGTGTGGCGCAGTTTGCAGGACCACTCAGAGGGTGGTCCAATGAAAGTTAACGGACATAAGAAACATAAAGCCAGGAAGAAGAGCAGCAGGAAGCTTAGCTCAGAGTTGTTGGCCCTGATAATTGGGGATGTCCTTTTAAGACAGAACACAACTGCTCTTTTAACGTTAAGACAGGTACCACTAATTAAAAACAGGTCTTCAGTCTAGCTGCTTGAGCAGGCTGCAACTAGATCAGAGAGCTTTGTTTATAGCTTCTGCTGTGTAAGTTGACACAGGGTGGAGGAATGGTGTAGCAGGTGCAACTAACAACCACAACCCTGCTCTGTCCCTTAGATGCATAAGTGGGTCAAAAATGACACGGTGAGGTTGTTTTCTTGTGATATCTTCGTAATGAAAAGTTGTTATCATTTCATATTCCAGCTATTCCTCAAAAAACTTGTTATCATGCCATTAAAATTTTTCACTTACCTTTTATACATTTTACAAAATTATAGTTTTTGTATTACTACCCCAAGCTTCCATAAGTGGGTCAAAAATGACCCACATTCATTTCCTATGGAATTTCATGGTAACCTTTGAATCTTATCATCTGTGACTGTCTGAAATTTATATTTTGTGGACCACACAGACAATGGCCTCTAGTTTCGAAGTATACTCCCTATCTGGTGTGTGTGTGTGTGTGTGTGTGTGTGTGTGTGATTGAATATTGTGTGAAAGAGTATGTGTTTCTTATCATCTATCATCAAATTTGCCTATTTTATAGTTTGCGAAAATAGCTAGCTAACATTAGCTAGATAAATATATGTACTTTACTGTATGTATTGCGTGCACGTGTGTGTGTGTGTGTGTGTGTGTGTGTGTGTGTGTGTGTTTGCACACACGCGCGCACTTGTGTGTGCATGTGTGTCGGTGTGCGCGCGGATGCATGTGTGCATTTATTTATATAGCTACATATTGATCAATAGGTTTGCTTGTCATTCAAAACATTCTCTTCGTTTTATGTTTCCTCATCCAAAGTGTTATGGCTGAGAGGTATACAGCTGAAATGGTTGTAAGGATGCTGAATGAAGAGGCAGTTATGGGAATGGACTCAGAATCTGAAATATCAGACGATGAGGACCCAGACTATTGTCCAGGTGGAGGTGTCGGTCGTCCACCTGGAAATCCAACTGAACAGGATTGTACAGTTACACGCACACACACGCATATACTCTCTTTCACACACACACACACACACACACACACACACACACACCACACGCACAAAATGGATGTTGACATTGTTCTATTGCTGTTGTGTAATTTTCGTTTCCAATTTTCAAAATGTTTTAAAAATGTTAAAAATGTAAAAAAAAACCCTGAAAAATAAAAATATTTCAACCATGAAATCATTCTTATGTGGACCAAAATATAATAAAAATGATTTTTCTTAACCAAAATGACAAAAGTGACATAAAAACACAGTGATTCTAACACGGGTCATTTTTGACCCACTTATGGAAGAGTGTAGGGTCCACTCACTCGTGCATCTAAGGGCTATAGAGTTCAAAGGAGAAGACCCAATGGAGTGCAGAAGCTTCTATCTAAGTTGGCTTGGTGACATTCCAGGGTGTCACTTGTTATAGTAGTGCCAATCACGTTTTTAGATGGGACCATAGGCAGGATGTCACACTGAGGTATGACTTTAGGGACCCTTGGAAGTTGAATTCAAATGACCTTTCTTTGTTGAATCAACAAAAGAGGCAACATCTGCCATTCCCTGTAAACTGAACTTACAGGAGATGTCTTCAGATGTCCGGTTTAAATCCCAACAAGGCAAACCACCATTTACCAGCAGAGAACCTGTACTCAGACTTGGAGGTACGGACTCTCATGCCTACTGCTTCACCCTCCACTACAACCTACTCTAGTGTGTGCTGGAGGCCATTGTGTGATAAAGCCAACATAACCAAATCATCTGCAAAGAGCAGAAATGCAATTCTGAGGTCTCATACTGGATCCTATCCTCCCCCCTAGCTGCACCTTGAATTCCTGTCCATGAAGATCTCAAACAGAATTGGTGACAAGGGACAACCCTGGCAGAAGCAAACACTGAAAAGTAGTTTGACTTTCTGCCGAGTATATGTACACAGCTCTGACTTTGGGTATACAAGGACCGGATAGCTTGTAGCAATGACCGTGGTGCCCTGTTTTCCCGCAGTACCCCCCACAAGACTCCCCAGGGGACATGGTCATGAGCCTTCTCCAAGTCCACTGTTCCAAGGCCAGGACGGAACTTGCCTAGCTCCTCATGAATCCGAGGTCTGACATTCAGTTGGATCCTCCTTTCAGGGACCCTGTAATAAACGTTCCCCGTGAGGCTGAGCAGTGCGATAACCCAGTAATGGGAGCACATACTCAGGTCTCCATGTTTTGGGAAAAATGCCATTGAAGAGTTTTTGACTCGTCTGTAACCTCTGTCAGGGAAATGGGTGAGGCTTACCACTGAGTCTTCATACTTCACACAATATCCCTGATTCAGCTCACCACCAGGTTGGAGTCAGGGTGTCACATATCACAATAGTGTCCAATCAAGTTTTTAGCTGTGTCCATGGGCAGGATGTCACATTAAGATATGACTTGAGGGACCCTTGGAAGTTGAATGCGAATGACCTTTGTTTTTCGTGACCAAGCCTGATCTGATTCAGCTCACTACCAGGTTGTGATCATTTTTTTTAGCTCTGCTCCTCTCCATACCTGTTTCTTCAATTCGTATAGCTGCAGATCTGATGTTGCAACCATGAGTTTTTTCATTGATCTTTAGATGAGGGTGTTCTAGTGCCAAGTACAATCATGAACCACCCCATGGTCGGACATGGTCTTCATTATGGTCAAACCATGACTAGCACAGGAGTCCAGTAACACCACTGCTAAGGTTCAGATCAGGCAGGCTGTTCCTCCCAATCACCCCCCTCCCGGTTTCTCCATCATTGGCCATGTAAGCGTTGAAGTCCCTTGGCAGAACTAGCCAGAACTTTCTTGAGGCCAACCAAAAGTCCTCACCCATCTCCTCCCACACCCAGGTATTTGCTTCCGCAATCACTGCAGCTGCAGCCCGTCTGGCGAACCAGTACCCATTTACTGCTTCAGGCAACCACTGGGCCAACAAAAACTGAAGGGCTTCATTCTTCAGCCTGATGGCCTCCTTTATCGCTGGTGGCCACCAGTCAGTTTTCAAGCTTCCGCCAGGACAAGGTCCAATCCCTCTGACCACAGGTGCTTCCAGGCTTCAGCCAGACATTCCCAGTTCACCCTCACTACGTGTATTGGTTTTCCAGGTCCATCCAACAGCCACCCACGCCATCTGATCCAATACACCACCAGGTGCTGATAAGTTGACAGCTCTGCTCCTCTCTTTAGCTAAATGTCCAAGACATACGGCCACAGATATGATGATATAATTACAAAGTCGATAATTGATCTTTGGCCTAGGGTGTTCTGGTGCCATCAATGCTTATGAACCTCCCTATGCTCAATCATGGTGTTCATTTTGGCCAATCCATGACAAGCAGAGATTCCAATCACATAACACCACTCAGATCAGATTTAGATCAGGCAGACTGTTTTTCCCATTCACCCCCCTTCAGGTTTCTCCATCGATGCCAACATGAGCACTGAAGTTCCCCAGGTGAACTATAGAGTCCCCGGTCGGCAATCCTTCCAGGACAGCCCCCAGAGATTTCATTCCATGGTACTCCAAACTGCCGTTTGTTGCATAGGTACAAACAACAATCAGAGTTGAAGACCTCCTCTCAGCAACTAGCACTTGCAACAAAGTGGCCATCAGCGAGACAACAGTGCTCATCTGGGGGCTCATGAGTATCCCCACACCCACCTGGAACTTCTCACCTCAGGCAACTCCAAAAAAGGTGTCTAGCCCCTCTTCAGGAGTTTGGTTCAAGAGCCATTGCTATGCATCCCAAGAGCCAGTTTTCAGCATGACTAGGTCCCCGGCCCTTCCTGGCGCTAGACTTGCAATGCACCTGATCCTGATGCTTATCCCACAGAGTGAGTGATAGTTTTACATTGTTTTTCTGGGTGTGCCATTTCCTACAGGCCTAAAATAATACATTACAATATTAAAGAGACATTCAGAGAATGAAAAGTATTAAATGTAAATCAATTAGTAAGTGTAAATATTTAAGTCAGTAAGATGAAGACTGTGTTGGATTTGCATGTCTCTTTATACTGTATGTTGTTTTGTATGCAGACGATAAAAAAAAAATATTTGTCAAGAAGACAATAACTTTAGAAAGGATATTGCAAAAAATTGTAATAAAATTACGAAATATTTAATGTTAAGCATGTGTTATTATGTAAATCAACTGGATGAAGACTGTATATAATGTGCACATCATGAGCTTTATGCTGTTGCAATCTTAACTGTTTCCAAATGTCTTATGACTGATTGTTTTTCATCAAATGTTTCTTGGTGTTCTTTTCTGGCTTAAACAATATGATGAAACACTTTGGAGCAAATATACACAGTATTAGTCCAAAACTGGAGGCCAGAATAGCAAATATCTCCACAGCCACAGTAAATTTCCCAGGAGAGCTGACATATGCTGGGATAAAGGTGATCCAGACTGCACAGAATATCAACATGCTGAAGGTGATAAGTTTGGCTTCATTAAAATTGTCAGGTAGTTTCCGGGCTAGGACAGCTAACACAAAGCAAAAGACAGCCAGTAGGCCTATGTATCCAAGCACAGCCCAGAACCCTATAGCTGAGCCTAATGCACACTCCAGAATAATTCTCTTCTTATATGTGGTGAGGTTTTTCATTGGAAAAGGGGGACTAAGAACCAACCATATTGTACATATTAAAACTTGAATGAATGTGAAGAATACCACAGTCATTCTTTGCTGTGGAGGACCAAACCATTTCATCACATTACTGCCTGGGAGTGTAGCTTTGAAGGCCATTAACACTACAATTGTTTTTCCAAGAACACAAGACATACAGAGGACAAAGGTGATCCCAAATGCTGTGTGGCGCAGCATGCAGGACCACTCAGAGGGTGGTCCAATGAACGTTAATGGACATAAGAAACATAGAGTCAGAGAGAAGAGCAGCAGGAAGCTCAGCTCAGAGTTGTTGGCCCTGACAATGGGGGATTTCCTGTGATGATAGAATACAGCTGTTGTTATAACGGTAAGACAGGCGCCACCAACTGAGAATGCAGCCAGGATGATTCCTAGGACCTCGCTGAAGGAAAGAAACTCTACAGGCTTGGGGAGACAAGTGTCTCTCACTGCATTAGGCCAGAACTCCTTGGGGCAAGGGAAACAATCAGGGGAATCTGAAAAACAATAAATGAAAATGAGCTTTTAAAGGGAGAGTGCACCCAAAAATGAAAATTCAGCCATTATCTACTCACCCATATCTTTTAGCTACTGTGGTTACTGTTGTCTCCCCATGCGGTGCACGTGTCACGTGATGTAAACACGGGTGAGCAAAGCTCATGCTTTCGCTGGTCGAGCGCACGCGTGAGCGCGGAGCACAGAGAAGCAGTCAGGGCTACAGGCTACAGTGAGGCTAAAAACAGAGTTGATGACGTTTTTCGAAACAACTTTTTATGTCGGGGCTGCAGCACACTTGGATCACTACGGATGAGCAGTATGGAGATACTTTGTGGATTAAATTTTGTGTTCTTGGACGTTAGTCTGGGGCGCCGTCTGCCACTAGGTGTGATGGCCGCTCCCCCCGCCGATCTCCGCAAGGGATATGAGGACTCTAAAACTTCACCAGGGCCTCCTTCGGCATATGGGTGAGTAGATAATGGCTGAATTTTAATTTTTGGGTCCACTATCCCTTTAAGCAGTGTCATACAATGTATTTGATGTTGTACAGTGGATATGCATCAGAAAATAAAGCATACCTGTAACATTGCTTATCTCTCCTTCAGGACAGGGTTTACAATCATAACAGCAGATGGGTTTTCCTTTCTGCAGCACTTTACGAGTTCCTGGAGGACAGCTGTCAGTGCACACTGACACAGGCACCTGACACATAGATAAAAATAGACCCACAAATAATCAGGTGTGCTACAAAGCTCAGAGGATTAAAGGATAGGTTAAACATTTTTATGTCTGTTAAATAAAGTACTCACATACCAATATGTGTACTGAAAATGTATGTGATTACTGTGACCATTTCTCTTGTTTGTACTGACTGTGGTTATTTTTCAAGGTTAATCTTTTTAACACTTATCGCCTTATTGTGAACACTTATTTGGAAAACAAAAAGAGGTAAGCTCATGATAGAAACACTATGACTTTGGTAGGGATCTCCTCATAGTCAGAATGGACAGGAGGAAACAGGAAACAAAGAAATATACCCTTTAAGATCATCAAATGTGAATATGTTGATACGTTAATTCATTACATTTGGACTCCTTACTTGTGTGCCACCTTCCACCCAGGTGAGCTTCCTGTTGATACTGAACTCCTGGCCCGCTGGCAGTGATGCATCATAGTGTCCTACTGTCACCAACTCAATGCTGCCACTCTCACTTTTTTGCCAGTTAACCAGCTCGTATTTGGCCACAGGATCCCCGTTGGCATCAAATGATACATCATAACCATTTTG